CAAAACTGCTGAGAAGCAGAAAGCTCTACAGAATACAAATATCAAGGAAGAAAGTTTTCAGACACCTCTCCACAATTAAATGGAACATTATACAGTACAACCTATACCTCCAAATCTAAGTCTAATCTGCTGACTACACCATACCCTCTGTCTGGTATCTGAAATAATTTCGCACAAAATTCTTACCTGCAAAAACTCTCTGACATTTGAGCCCAAGACACGTAGAATTGTATCATAACCAGATTCTTGACAAAACACAAAAAACATCTTCCCAAACATTTGAAGAATTTCCCCAGCGTTTAGATCTAGTTAAAACAGGAAAATATGACTCAGTCCAAATACTGCATTTTGTGCACTTTGCTTACTACTTCAGTCTTGTATTCATAAATAAGAGTGACAGTACTTAAACTTTACCTAGATCCAGTAGGTCAAGAATATGAGAAAAACAAGATTCAAGGTCCACATGGCAAATAATGAATATTCAATACAGGAACTTCTTTAGGATTTACCAATTACCATTATGACTTCACCACATTCTGCATTTCACACACATATAGCATTTTAGATTTTGATACAGATAAGAAAACACTACTTGAAAATAAAGGGATTTGGTTGCTAGCAGCGCTCACCTCAGGGGAGTTACTTCTGGTTTACAATAGCAGAAAACCACATCAGCTGTTCCAATTTAACATAACTACTACAATCATCATAGTCTTAAGGGTTCTTGGCTAATTACTGATTCAGAACAAATTCATACTACACTTGGGTCTGCAGACAGAATAATGCTGATGGGCATAATTCTACCTTTTAAATTCCAGACCAGACTTGTAATGATAGAAAATGAATGCAACCCAAATCAAAGGCAAATATGAAATGAGATGTGCCCAAGCCACAAATATTTCTGTAACTTGGCATGTTTGTTCAGCAGAGAGATCAAGGATTAATTCACGGGCTGCTCTTGTAGCAGTGGTTGAAACCTGAGTGTATTGCCAAGGTAGTTACAGAAGTATATCCTTACTTCATGACCGCTTGTAACACTGACCATGCTCTGTGGACAAGGTATATTACTGCATTTTAAGGTGTACCTATGCCTTGGAATACTTTGGAAGTAATAAAAATCACTTCAAAGATTAAAAGGGATAAAAATATCTTAGATAAATTAAAAAAAAAAAAGAAAATCCTTTATTCTGAGATTTAAAAAAAATTGTCTCTGACCAATACCCTGCTTTCACTTTCTCTCCATTACATGGATTTTGGGGGGCAGGGAGGGAGGCAGGTATCTTGTATCTTTTATGTGATGAATGGGCAAAGAAGATATCCGTATTACTTACTAAGGACCTTGCTTGCAGCTGCAACCAAATCATAGGTTTTGGAATCATCGTAGATTATTCTGACAAGAAACTGCCCTTCTTCATCCAGCTGTGCCTCCTTCCTAGAAAGAAAATAGAATAAAATCATTTTGGTTGAGGGAGAAGCACCATATTGGTAAATCAATTATATATTGTTTGGTATTAGTCTTCTAAATACAATAAGTTTGTAGGTTCTACCTTTAAGAAGTTACTTAAAATAGAAAATTAGAAATAAAACTGTTCCATATCTCAGAGTCACTAAGGTATAACACAAAAATTTCAGACCACGTGTTTTCTGGAAATAACAATTAGCTGTGAGAAAATAAACACAATTTTTCAGTACAGAGCCTTAGAAAGAAGTTGCTGAACTAACAAACACAGAAATTGCATTTTGAAATAGGGGAATATCCAATAATTCAGCCCAAGATGGGCTCTTTGAACACTTTTTAAGCAAGCATTTTCACTCCTTCCAGTTTTGATTATACTTTATTTACAAAAGGTATGAGATGTTTTTAACAACCATTTGCACATATCTTCAAAGAGGAATCTAAAATCCAGAAGTAGGATCAAATACCTTTTTTTCAGAATTCTGCACATGCCCAGTAGAGAAAAAAAAGAATGCTTGGATTTTGTAAGGTCTTTTTCTTTCATTGCATACCAGTTCTTCACATTCTTATTGCTCAGCACGTTCTCATTGCTAACCAACAATTATACTACATTGTTTTTGTATTTCAAAAATATATCTATTTTTTAAAATTAATTAATGAAGTCTTGCTGCTACTTGACATATACATTTTTATACTCACTCTGTGAATGGGCGTAATGTGCTAAAAACAAGCTAAGTTTTTTCCCGAAGTAATACGACAAGGGTATAGGGGAGGTGAGACTAAACATGTAATTCTACTTAAAAGGAACATCATTATCTACTCAATGACATTAAAACATTAATAAACTTAATGGTTTGTTTTTTCTTAACCTCTTTGGGAACTTCCCAAAAGGAATGAAAGAATGTCTCAGAAATACAAAGACAAAATACAGTATTATCTTTTTTAAAATAATCATTTACAATAATTTATTAATTACTTGAATAAACCATATAGTTATAAAAAAGCAAGCAGAAACGGTATGTATACACAGAGTCCCATAAAACACTCTTATTTTTAAACTTCAAAATAATACTTCTGGTCCTCTTCCCCAGCCATTCTCTGAAAACTTCAGATCAGCCTGCAGGATATCAAGTCTTAGTGATTCCTGAAAACAGCTCCTATGCCACATATTCCTTCTTCTCCTAAGTAGGAGGAGAGCTGGATTTATGAGTGGGAAACATCTTGAAGCATATGAGGGCAGTCAGGGACAAGAAGGTAGAGTTCACATTTCCTAAGAACTAAACTGAAATTCATATGAGAAAAGAAAACAATCCTGATTCTTTGACTCTCATAACATCATATGGAACTGGAAGTCAGATACAGTTTGGAGGGCAGTTTGCAAAGGGTGAACAAACTTTCCCACATCTCTGACACACACTGTGCTTTCTTTTAGTCTCTCTGATCTCAGCCAAACCACAGAAGTTAATACACACATCTGGAAAAGCAATGAACATGAAAATACTGCATACTTGCACAATCCAGTGGACACAGTTTTTGTGTATGAGAATTTTCTCTATTAAAAACTGACCCGGTTTGACAATGTTGGTATCTCTTTCAAAACTTCTTACATTTCTTTCCAATTACATTAACTGGAACTTTTCCCACTGCCTCCTCTGTGCCAAGCCATGCTTCCTTTTTTCTTATTTTAATTGTCTTTAGTTTACTTTGTCAAAGCTTTTCTTCAATGCCTGCAGTTTCTCTGAAGCACTGCTTTTTAAAATAACCACTGGTTATTTCAGTGCCTGTGCCATTTAGACTATTTTAGCTATTTTAGTTTTTCTCCAGTTTTCTCTAGATGCTTTGGATCACTCAGCAGCCATCTCCTCGTTAACCTTAATGATGTATTTCCCATGAAAATAAACGTATTGATAAAGTTAAACAAAAAATAGTTCAATTAGCAATCACGTCTGCATTCCTTGGATATAATTTTCTGGGGTGAAACTCACTGCTCTAAGGCTTCACTCTCTCTCAGTATTAGCAGTCTTGCTGGGCATTCCAGCGCTGCAGAAAAAGGACCCAGTGCTTGCACTGCAGGTTAATACTCCAAAACAAACAAACAAACAAAAAATGTCCTGCCTTTTAGTTATTTTTATTTTTAAAAGACAGAGAAAAATGTATTAAAAAAACTAATCCAACAAAAGCCTATCTCATTTTGGGAATTTTTTTCTAGAAAATTTGTCAAATTAAATATTTGTCAAATTGAGGAGGGCATTATACTCTTCACTCAAAACCATGTGGGCAAAAAATCTCTTTGCTTGTCCTACAAATATGACAAATCCCATGACAACGTCTGACCTAAACCTGTGTCAAAAGATGAACTGTCTTTTTAAAGCCTGTGCTTGAAAATTGTTAAATTCCAAAACTTTTTTTTTCCTTTCCAGCACAATTCCTTCTCCATACCTCTAAGCCCTGTTGTGCTTGTACATCCCAATCATTTAGCTAGATGCTGAGCTGAAATATAGTTCAATCAGATATTTGTTTTTCTGAGTTATTTTTCTGATGTATGGATTTTCCTGTCTGCTTTGTCACCTGCTCACAGAAGTTGCTGTGCATACAGAACGTCTGGCCAGACAGAGTGGCTGAGGACAGGATCGGAGGCTCAGGGAAGTCAGCTGAAGCCCTGGGTCTGCAGCTTCTGAAATCTTTCTGCCTCCCTCAGTAATCTGACAGCAGTGAGAACTTCCAAACATCTTTCTCTCTGAAACAATTTTATTAGCCTTAAGACTCCATGTGATGGTGAAATGCTGCTGTAGGCTTATCCAGAATGGCCAATTCAATGTGAAACCACTCCTATTGTTACAGAGGCACTTGTCCTTCACAGAATCACAGAATCACAGAATGTTAGAGATTGGAAGGGACCTCGAAAGATCATCTAGTCCAATCCCCCTGCCGGAGCAGGAACACCTAGATCAGATCACGCAGGAACGCATCCAGGCGGGCTTTGAATGTCTCCAGAGAAGGAGACTCCACAACCTCTCTGGGCAGCCTGTTCCAGTGCTCTGTCACCCTCACTGTAAAGAAGTTTTTCCTCATACTCAAGCGGAACCTCCTATGTTCCAGCTTGAACCCATTGCCCCTTGTCCTATCACTAGATGTCACAGAGAAGAGCCTGGCTCCATCCTCCTGACACTCACCCTTCACGTATTTATAAACATTCATTAGGTCACCCCTCAGTCTCCTCTTTTCCAGGCTAAAGAGACCCAGCTCCCTCAGCCTTTCCTCATAAGGGAGAACAACTCCTTCAACAAGTCTACAAAATTGCAGCTTGTCTAATAAACTTGTTTCAGAGAGCATAGCATCCCAGCTATCAGAACCAGAGAGGCTGACCAGGATGTGACCACCAGCAGTCTAGGAAACAGGATAAAGTAAATTAAATGTTCATTCAGGTGAATGTGCAATTCCTAAATTGTTTCCTCACGGCTGCAGTTTTCTCACCTAATTACCCGACCCCTACCTGATCTATCAAACCTGCCCACATTTACATGATAGAACTAGTTCTACAACAAGGGTGATACCAAGAAATATATGACAGTGTTGTGAAAACTGTTAATAACTAATACTAAAAGTGATACGGCTTTGTCAGGTTTGCAGAGCTGCTGTGGTTGGCTGTCCATCAAGTGTGATTCCTCCAGTGTGACACAGCTGTTTTTAACTCCAGAATCTTTGAGTACCGTGTATGAAAACACTGTGTATGAAAAGCCTGTGTGTAACTGCAAGGTATGGCTGCAAACCTGAGTATGTGAACTTCAAAAGGCCAGAAAGACGCAACTGTTCTCATCTGAACAGCTTCCCTCTCCTGGCTGACAGATGGTTCATGAGCTGGGATTAGAACTGCAATATAACGTGGCATCCTTAGATGCAAAGAACACACATTTGCCTGATCGTATTTCATAGAAATCTTGATAATCCATAGCTTTAAGAAAAACTGTGGCATCTCCCTGGAATGTTTTGCTGCAATCTTTATTCTCAGTTTTTGACCAGATAAAACTATGGGAGTAAATTAGCACAGCTCTAATGTTTTCTGCAGACTGCGGTGTTTGATCACAAAGGCATTAACAGCAATAACATGCTGGTGGCTTTCTCAAGGGCTCGACTGGAAATGAGCCAAAAGCAACAAGCTCTGGCAAATTCCCAAGTCCTGGTTAATTTTTTCGTGAACTAGCAGAACTACAGTAGCAGAATTTTAACTTTTATATGGCCTTTCTTTCAAAATAACTTGTAAGTCAAATAGAACAGAATTTACCATTAATATCTCATTTACATTTCTGGACATAAAAGAAGGGTGTGCTTTGCTCCCCAGTAAGTTTACGTTCAAAACTTTAAAAAAATACAGGAGTTTAATGCTCTTGCCTAAACTGACTCCTCTTGTCAGCACATGCGATATGATATTCCATGGTTCAAAACCTGCATCCTATGTTATGCCTGTCTTAACTGCTACAGTCTGGCAGTGCTTTTTATTTACTTTAGACTAATTCTGAATGATTACACAGAACTATTTGAATTGTGGGAAACAAAAATTCCAGCCCAGACTTTTTAAAAATGCCTTTGTTTTCCTCCTGAATGTTTATATTATCCAGGTTAATGTGAGGAAGTTTACTTGGAAAAAAAGAACCTTAACGGTTGCACCATGGAAAATAACACAGCTATCCAGAGACCATTTTTCAGGTACAGGTTTGACCTTGAAATCAATGGAAAAATTCCGGTTGAGTAGATCAAAGCAGGACCAAGTCTTAAAGCAGCCTTTCCTCCATCAGTCATGCTAACACCCCCAAACTGCTGTTGGTCTAGCAGCACAGAACAGCATTACAGGTGATACTATGTGTGTACAACAGGCCCTTTGAAAATCTTTCCCATTGTGAAACTAGTTTAGTATTTGAAAACACATTACTCATGTTCAAAGGCAATGTTAATAATTCACAGAGACAAACGAAATGTTA